GCATCGATGAAGTCGAATTTGACTGAGACCAAATTGGCCTCGTTGGGAATCAAGATAAATGCACCTATACTCGCTAGAATTACATACTACTCCTTCTAAAACATTACTAAATCTACAAACCATAACCTTCCTCCAACCCCCAATCTCCTATCCCCATTAAACCTCAACCCCTACCTAAAAATCTTTACCACCCTTCATCGAATCTCTAGAACCCCAAAGAACCTCTTCCCGCCTATCAATATTAAAAAAATCTGACCTCTGGAAAAATGACCTCTAAAACTTCACTAAACCTACAAATCATAAACTTTCTCCAACACCCAATCTCTTATTCTCCATGAAACCTCAACTCCTACTTAAAAATCTTTACCACCCTTCCTCGAATCTCTAGAACCCCAAAGAACCTCTTCCCAACTAACAATATTTAAAAAATCAACTCTGTCAAACCTTGTTCAAAACCAGTACACTCTCCAAGCCTACAAAATCGTCCTTCTCAATCCTGACTTATCAGTGACAGTTCTATCACTTATCAATCCACTCGGTGCTTGATCCTAAATTATGCCAGGTTTCCGCCGTCTCTCATCCGATCCCCGAAGGTAAAAAAAAATTCGTGTTGACGCTGGTAGCGTCTAGGAGGGTCCTCGTGGATCATGAAAACATCCCAGCACGTGTAAAGCTCGGATCGGTGAGCGCTTGCGCGCAGGATGGCGCCTTTTCGAGCATGCTCCGAGCACTTGGATCGATCCGCGGTTCGAGTCGAGTAAACGCGCGGCACCGGAAGCGTCCTAGGTACCAAAATGGCGGAAGTGCACGGCTCCCGCCCTCGGAGAGAATTGACACGACAACCGAACCGATTTGGAAGCTCGTGAACGGATACAAGCGAGCGCACGGCGAAGGTAAGAGAGGTTTTCGAGCAACTACGTGCCGGTCGGAAGGCGGCGTGTCTTTCTCCCCTGCATCGTGCATTGGCTCGCCGGAGAGAGGGAAATGGCGAAACGATGGTAGGAGGTGTAGTGCAAAAAGCACGACGGGGAGGGGAGACGTAGGTGAACGCAATAGATTCTAGGTCCTTGCGAATCGGAGTCCAGAGGATCCTGTCGCGCAGCATCTGTTTCCTATTCAGAGCATTTCTCGTTTTTCTCACTTGTTGATGGACGCCGTCAACTATCTGAGGTCGATGTGGATGGAACTTTGGATGAGAACTTCAGAAAAAACATTTATATAACCGTTTTTATTGGTATCGTTAACCCTTTACACTTGAATATCAGTGAACAAATATTTGTTAAAAGTGCATGTTTCCTTGAAGTTCTCCATTCAAATGAAAGAAAGAAGAAGAATTTATATATTTATATAAGATATTTGAGAAAATTCTATGTATAGAAATCGTAAGGAAAATCTTTGTATACATATATGCACACTTTGTAAAAAATGATGTGATTAGAGAAAACAAGCAACTATCTTTGTAGGTCATAGCATTGTACTTTCAAGATCCTAGTATCCTACATCAATCTTGACCTCCAAATAACCTTGCAAGTAAGCCTAAATAGAATATCTATTAATTAGTATAATTGCCTCATTTAAAATGTTTCAAATGTGATCTCCAGAAATTTCACAATATCAGAACACCGACCATAAGCTGAACAAAATTTCGCTCACCATTGCTCGTACAGCAACAATGGTTATAATAAAAATTGTTGGAAATGAAATTCAGGAACTTTTATATTGTATGAACATTTTCAATGTAATTGATACTAACCGAGATATCTATTCATAAAGAATCAACCTAAATAGCATGTACAATACAATCATTTGTATTTTGATCACGGACTTGTGACCGTAATTCTGACACAATCACTATAACAGGACACTTTTAATTGCGAGACAGTTTTAACTTTCATTTGCGAACCTGTAGCTATGCTGTGGCATGATAATCTAAACAAGCTTCCATTTTCGAGCGTGGATATGTTGCATAACTGAATTTGCCTGTTATGTACCTCTAAATAGATGCGTGGGGACTATATAGACTGAAACTGAATGAAATTAGGTCTTCGTCTATTATTAACGAAACGTTTCTGGATATTCTATTATTTATTATCCGTTATATTGCATATTTTATCGATTTTTTCAATTGCATAGGTATACATATTCGAACTTCCCTCATTTATGGGGCGCCAACTGGTATCGCCATCTCGCGGTCAATAGGACGAACTAAAATTTCGACCTTCGGTCAGCGCCTCTATCGGGAAAACGACCAAGTTTGTCGCCGAATAGTTCTTTTTTTAATCATTAGATGGCGCTTTTTTGTAAATCTGCTTACCAACATTTTATATTTTTCGTTTTTTCTATGTAAATATGCATTAATTTAAACAAATAAACATTGGCACACAGACTACAAATTGGCAGCTAACTTATACCGTCAACAGAGAAGCCTGGGAAGCATTTAAGTTTGCTAAAAAGATAGTTCTAGCTAGTTACCATCATGAGTTGAAACCAGTTTCTTTAAAAAAAGTTTGTTGCAGCAAATAACAACAAAAAGAATCGTTTCCTCAGATAGATCTCAATATAAGGAAGCTTGTAGTATGATTGCAAATTCATTAATAGTTGTAATAAAAGAGATATTGTGAATTTAATTAATGTCGGTATGCAGATTTACAAAAAGCGCCATCTAGCGATGAAAAAAGGAACTATTCGACGACAAACTTGGGCGTTTTCCCGATAGAGGCGCTGACCAAAGGTCGAAATTTTAGTTCGTCCTATTGGCCGCGAGATGGCGATACCAATCGGCGCCCCATAAATGAGGGAAGTTCGAATGTATATATGTAATATAGCAAATAATAGATAATAGAATATGCAGAAAAACTTCATTAATAGTAGATGGGAATTTAATTCTCTTAAATTTCAGTCGACAAAACCATCTAACACATTCATTTAGACCTCCATAATGTAATTATGAAGAATTATTGAAGTACAAAAATAAACCGCTATTATACATGGTAAAAATAAATTATATATATATATATATATATCTACAGCTTTACTCTATCTTGTATTTACAAGGTTACCCTTAAAATACCACTAAAATTTTAAGGGTTGATTTCACCCCTTTGATGTAAACTTCTACGCGAAACAAAAATTTTTTCTTGCGTACTTGACTACATTCTATAATCACACTTAATGTTAATTAAAATTTAATTACCGTGTTCAGCTACTTACCTTGTTTATTTAGAGACGAAGAAGATTGCGTACCACTGGTGTAGAGTAACTGCTCTTACTAAAATAACCGTTAATGTAACAGACAATTAGAGGGAAAAGAGAAAACTTACAGTTTCAGGTAGCGTTCATTGTGAGAAGAGTCATCGATGCTCATTAACTGTTACGTTCGTTACCAGGCACCGTTAGCATCGAGCATTATGCAAATGCAAAAAGGCATTAGTTCAAGAATGAATTACTCAAACATTGTACTCTTAGAAAAACATACCAAATAACACTACTGTAATTTAAATTACAGTGTCTGATTTTCTTCAAGTTTCATTAAGGAAAACATATTATTCTAACTGTTAAAGTCCCAAGTGTCTTATTGGACACTTAACGAATATCTCAAAGAATGGTCCACGAATAAAGTACACTAAACTCTTTACCAATTCTTTAGTAGCTTATATATTGTTCGACAGGGATTTTACAGGTGTACATTAATGGGAACAACATCTATGTGTGACTTTTGGTAAATACAACTGGAGCTTGTGTCCATCACGCTACAAATTGTTTAATACGTGTTCGATACAATTTTAACCACCTATTATAATTGGTAGACTTTGTTCCTATACATACGGTAGACAGATATACAAAAACATTGTATCGTACAAAATAGTAGCAGTAGTATCACCACCAGTTTCGTTCCCACGGGTTCTTCTCTTACGCACGGTATCTCTCATTGACCATCGAAATTTCTAACGTATATCCATATCGTGAGAAATCTTATAAAAATACTATTTATTAACCCTTTACTTGGCCACGTCCGCTGTTCACATAATGCAACAATCTTGTCTCAACTAAAAATTAATTAACTTCATGATCTTCGTTACGTTTACACGACGCATAAATAAAATATCACGTAAAACACAGTTTCTAACATTTCAAACCGACAAGACTTCGTAAAAGACTGCATCAAATCTTCCAAATAAAACATGCTAAACCAACAACTAATATCTCAAGATTACGAAAGTAGATGTAGTTCGTATTCTGATGACGTAAAAATAATACTGTAAAGAAACACCAGAACAATAAATAGCTACGTGTGACTGAATAATAAAATGCAGTTCGAATAAACTTTCCACAAAAGTGAATATATTACAAAAAAAAAAAACAAGTAATTTGTATCGGATCTTGTACGAACATAGATTGCCCAACAAATAAAAAGATCATTAAAAATAAAAACTATGATCCAACTGCTCTGTCTTCCTAATTAGTAGCCAAATAAAACATTGAAGTACTTCTTTCGAACGATCAAAGCAATTACAGTGGCCGCTATTGCTCGGCGTTTCTAGTTTCTAGATCTATTCAATTCTTCGCTTCGTCTCTGTGCTCTTTAACAAAAAAAAAGACATTAAATTATCTGGTCAACGACACACACCGTACTCGGAGACATGTCGAAAGAAGAAAACAAGTGAAAACACGAAGAGCGCGCGTTTCACGCGCGATTACGTATGTACAAAACTAAGGTAAGTGTTCATAACAAATGTGTTCGCGCAGAACTTCGCTCGCCTAACTTTCTCGCTTCTTATTTTTCTTTTAAATTATTCATTTTCGTTTGTACTGTTTTGTCCCATTATTCGTTTCGTCGCGACGAAACTGTAACAGAGATGGGGGGGGGGGGGCCCCCCCCCCGCGTGCTCGGGGGCGAAGAGAGCGCACACACATATATATATATATATATATATATATATATATATGTATGTATATGTAACTCGAGACGAAAAGTGTTCTCGAAACCAAACCAGTCGGAATGTTGTACTATGATCCAAGTTTTATTAAACAAATTAAATACAAAAAGTCTCCTGCTTTCGTGTTGCTCGCAGGACCGCTGTTCTTGCGGTCGTTCCGTCTCGAAGTTTTATAAATAATTAAAACAACAGGAGAGAAAGTGGAAGGAGGATAAATAAAAATAAAAGAAGTCAGGGGGAGGGGGACTCGTGGAAGAAGAAAGTTGAAGGCTTGTCCACATTTCTCTCTCTTAGATAAACATTCTCTCTCACGCTCACATTACACAAACTCTACCTGACAGAGATGGGCAAAGTTCTTATTCGAACGCTTCGAATAACGAATAAAAGACGAACTACACGTGCAATAAAAATTACAATCGAATATTTCATGCTGAATGAATAAAAGTTCAATCGAACAAACATTACAAGCAACATAAATTCGTCTTTGTAAGCTCTCTAGCAAAAGCATTCGAACAACTTTTATTCGTCATCTGTTGTCCGAATAAAACTCTTACCCATCTCTGCTCTACAAGGTGGATCGTTCCATAAAATTAGGGGAAGAAGGGCTCGAGCTTCAGCGATTCAAGGACTAACTAATCAGCTCGCTCCGTTTTGCCAGCGCGCGAACGCTTCCGTTCCTCTTCGAGGGTTCGCCGTGCTCCCGTTTCGAGCGTTTAAAGATTATTGCTCGCTGTGAACACGGTGTGGGAATATTACGCTTAGTCGCCACGTTCAGAAGCAAGATTTTCCACGATGCGATCGGCGTGACCAATAAGTGAAAGCGTTCGACTGGTTCTCGGATATCTACTGTTCGACGAAACCTCGAAGAGGAACGGTTGGTTCGCGCCAATTCGCAAAAGGCATATGGTAAATGCTGCCTGGAATGGATCGTGTTCTTGCGCTTCAGCCGAAGGTACAAAAAGGAAGAGCTCGGAGAACCAGTTCGAATGGAGTAAAGCGAAACGGGTGATCTCTTAACGGTTAAAAAAAAGAAAAGAAAAAAGAAAATGCAAACAGAGAAAAGAAAACACGAAAAGAGGTCTTTTTTTTCAGATCTGCTCGTTTTGTTTTGCCTTCTACGCTTCGAATTCGCGAGGAATCTTAATCGATGAACGCTGAATATAATGATTTTTATAAAGTGTTCCTTCGAGAACGTTTGAAGTAATAATATTTAAAAGTCGTTAGGATATGTACAAAGAGATATTAATATGAATATGCAAGTAAATGTCGATGGATCCACGGTTGCGTCGCGGGATCGAGTTGGACCAATCGTTTCCCATTAGACAGACCGCGCGAGAAGATCAGCACGGTGTTCGAGGACATCTGATGCCTTTCGGTCAGGGTTACGCGGTATGATTAATATCTGAGAGCAGTCTGTCGCACGCTGGGAGACGAGTCTCGTGCGGGGGGGGAAGCATGTTGGCCACGATTCACGGCAAGACACAGTGGAATGTCGACAGCAAACGTTGAACGTTCAACTCTTGAGCAAATTTTTTACACGATTTTGAACAAATTTTGAACGTTCGAGGAGAGAAAGCACCGTGCTGATCCTCGTTTGGCAGATCCTTTCGCGAGAGACGCCTTCGAAGGTCCCCTCGACTGACCGCGGTTTATGCATTCTTCCGCGCGTGAATTACAGCTCTCCTTAACGCTTTATCTACCGGAAGTCCATCCGTTAAGCTTTTTAATTACAGGCTTTTCGGTTGTCATCTTACAATACTGGGTTTCAGGAAACGGACGAGGCTTTGCATAAATTGATGCAAGCCCAGATTAATATACATCCCGGAAGTACTTCTTCTAGGTCTTCTTCGAAAATGACAGAGAATTCGACGAACAATCCACGGTATTCGTATCTTAATAGTCTGGTAGATAAAGCGTTAAGTACTCGTCGATAAAGGACTCGAGGCTTCTTGCACAAATGGACGAGAATTATGACTGTTTACAGCGCTGTTACAATACGATAAGTCGAATGGGCGAAGAAAAAACCTATTTACTTGATATCGATAATAAAACCAGCCGCGCGCCTCCGCCTTGTCGACACCTCGCCTCTCTCCTTTCTCCAAAGAGGCGGATATCATCCAGGTCTCCTCGCACGCTCGCACGGGCGCGGATTATACATACAGATATATTTATATTTATATATTTCTATATATTTATATAAAACTAAAACGTACCGTGATACTGATAAAATTTCGGAAAATATGAGTTCGACGAATAGCATTCAAAGGTTCCATCACCTCGTTCGCGAACAGGGCGAAATCGAGAGTGTCGAGATATAAGTTACACCAGATCTAAAATTCGTTTCCGTAGTATAGTCAGTAAAAATAAGTTGAGCATACGCGATGCATATAGATATTTTACTTCGATCTCGTATCCTGAAACGCTAATACCTTGTTGTGTTTATTCGTTTTTCACGAAGACTCGCGCGCCGCGGTTCGCCATTGGAATTTTTTCTCATCGATATTTGTCACTTTCTATTCAGACTCGCCTAAGAGCGCCACTCCGACTCATATCGTCTTAACCCCCTACTGCACTACTTGTCGATTGTTTACACATCGCTGAATTAATTAACCCTCTATAGAGTTTGGATTTAAAGTTACACATAAATATTGTCAAAGACTGATTTCATCTCTTTACTAATACGGGGAAGGACTCCCCTCTGAATTAATGTGTTTAGCAAACAGGTTCTCATTGTAACGTATAAAACATTAAGCGTAAGATCACAATAATTATAGAGATATAAATAATTGCACGTATCATTCTTCACCAGGAAAGCTAAGTTCGATACAAATTATAGTTTACATTTCATCATCAACGTTCATTCAGAACCTATTATATAAACTCTTCTGGCATAGAGAATTAGCAAGTAGCTGGAGCTGCAGATCTATAATTCAATAATTTAAATGAGATCCCTGGTCTTTTCTGTCTTTCTATAGTCTTCCTTCTTTTAGAAAGCGTTTTACCGAGCACATGCTCCATCTACGATATCAGAGATGTTAAACGTTCAAGGATATCTCTTTCTAAAGATATTCTACAATTCAATGCAATACAGGGTTAGACGGTACACCAAAAGCCAAGGAGCAGTACTTTCGGTCGTACCCTCTTGCAACGGCGTTGGTCTTTGAAAAATACTTTGTACTTGATCGCGTCAACAGTAAAATCAGCACACATCGAACCGCATAAACCGTAAAATCGCATCGCCGTTTCGATGCGAGATTTCCGTATCTCTGCGTCACGCGTCACGCGCCGCTGACGATCGAACAACGGATCGAAATAAAAAATGGTTCGAACCCTGCCAGGTCGTACAATTTTCACCGCGAAAAATTAGCAGCAAAATAGCTCGGAGCACGACAATTGGAATTATTTGTTTGCAACCCTGGCAGGTGTACAAATTAAAAAAAGAAAATAAAAATAAAAATAAAACAGAACTTTCGACGTTAAACCTGCAATCAGTGTCGTTAGGCTGAACCACTTCGAATCCTCTGGCGCTTAAATTCGATTTGCACTGTGAGTTTCCTCTTTCGCGTCACATTCTTCCTCGGCTCTCGGTTAAAGACTACGATTAACGCTACGCTATGTACACCAACTTATATACTTATGCTACGAATGGGGAGCGTTGGGGAGGATATTAGCCTAAAAAGTATATAATACAGGACACGCTGTCATTCGTACTCCCTGCGGCGATACGCGGTATATATAACATCTTTGGACTCGATTTATTACACATTTATATAGAATATTACTTATGACCGTTCTTGCGCTCTAGTCCCTGCGATATCGAAACTCGGAGGAGCTCGTCTCCCCTCTCAGTCTGATTGGAAAAGTTGCTTTGTCTTTTCGTTTCTCGGCCTCTCCGAATCTCAACGTCCTCGATACTCGTGCTATTCTCCTGACGCTCTTCCGAAATTCTCGAGGTGTCTGTTTCGTTTGGTTGCAGTCCTGGAAGCGCGTTTCCCCGTAATTCCTAGAATTAGGTGACCCGATCTCTCGACAAGCTACCGTCGAAAGCACTGTGCGTGTCAATTGTTCGTCCCTGTGTAACCCTTCCCTTCTCAAAATTTATCTCGAGACGAGGGATGCGAGTTTCGTAAATCCTGGCGATTCCTCTTTCCCGAGGAATGGCTCCAACTCGTCACGTGACGCGACGACGAGGGTGTCCTATTCCTTTCGCCGAAAGAGGTAGTTGACGAGACGAAGGATTGCCCCCTAAGCAAGGATCGGCGTTCCCAGCGTGGTGGATCGTTTAAACCGCCGACACTTGGGCGTCCTCATCGTCTGAAAAAATTGCGATCGGGTCAGCAACGACCGGAAGAGGTTTCATCGATCGTGAGACGGTGCTCTGCCGACTGTCGTCTACCTTGGCTGAATCTTAACACTCTGACGACGAGATACCTGCGTATTCGTTTTAAATAAGTAATCAAGGAAGGCGTTTAGCGGGACTCGCAGCTTGCAATCGTCTTCTTCTACTCAGAGCCTAATGTACCGTAACAGGGAACAGAGAAGTGTACGTAAAATTGCTACCGCTAAGTCTGGTCTATCTAAAGATGGAGAGAAATGAAAATTCCACCCCACTGATGGAGGATCGATTTTACATGTAACGAATTTCACAGGAAACGCGATCTACTAATGCATGGTTATAAAATTCGTACGGAAACTACAGTATCAGCGACTACTAGACCAGAACGAATCCCCCAAAGTAGACTGGAGTCCTTCGATTAGAGATGTGGGGGTACATCTATCCAACGGTTCATCTCTGAGTAACTTACTGTAAACGTCAACGTGTGTTCCATCGAGAGATATTTGGTTAAAAAAAAAAAAAAAAAAAAAAAAAGGAATAAAGTAAAACGGGGGTCGTGGAGTGTGCGACGTGCAGAATGAACGCAAGCAAGCTCGACATGCCACGACAAGTGGAAAACGAAACAACGCCGAGGGAGTAATCCGCAATCTGTGGGAAATGGCACGTATAATTTGCTGCAAGCCTCTAGCGGGTGCACGAACATCGATCACGTGTAGCAATTCATTGGATGCAGACGGCTAATTCGATTATGTGATGCGTATTATATGCGTAAGAGCGAGTGCGCGTCGAACGATGCTCACACGGATAAATGAAACAGAAAAAAAAACACGAGTTATGCATACACAAACGTGTTACGAGCAGGCAACTTTGCGGAATGTACAAGTGAGAAATGCGGTTGTATCGTTATTTACATGTTCGTGCTGGACTGTTTATCGAAACATGTACATCGAGCGACAAACAGCAGCAGATTCTACCTCGGATCGTTCATACATACACTGTACTTAAATGACACACGCGAGGAGCTCTCTCAAATGTAGCTAGATAGATCAGAGTGTATTCTGATGCGTAAGCTCATCCCATCGGAGTAAAGAAGACTCCACGGTGAATTTTTTCAATGTTTCACTTTGCGAAAACTTGAATTTTTTGCTACGGTTCGAGTAATCGAATTGGAATGTTGAGTAGATGTTGCCGTGATATTGACACGGTGAAAAATGTTATCGAGAGATAAAGTAAAGGGTTTTCCAAGAGAGACTTTAGGCTTTTGGTTTTTTATAATCAGATATGCCTGGCAGCATGGTCGTGGTGGATACTAAAGACGTTATCTCTCGTGTTTACTTGTAAAAGATCATATTCCTAAAGCACCTTTTAGAAAACGCTTTATGATGGAATTCGTAAAGAACAGCGTTATATTTAAAAAAAAAAAAGTAATCTTGTACGCACAATTAACCGTTTCAGACGTGACATATTTCAAGAGTAATTTTTTTGGGGGTATACCAAAGTATTTACTACGTTAATTAACTTTTAAAATCTTCGTTATGGGCCCCATTCAAAATTCTTTTTGTTATTATTTTACCTACAACTTGAAGAAGAAACAAATTTATATTTCTCGAAGTAATCTACAAGACTAAGTAATTTAATAATCAATAAATCTATAAAAGTAACACACACATTATTAAAATAAAATTGATCTCTAAGATCAAAGTAAAAATTAAAAAGAAATAAATTGATGCATATATTATATCATTAAAATTGTTTGAACTATTATTAAAAAACATATAAATTTACTAAAACATACATAGCATTTCATCCTTGTGAGGACTGCTAACTTTAAAGATAACTTTTAATTGAGACGTTTAAAAATATTCATGACACGCCATTATGCACACGTCTGAGAAGACAAAGCGAAAAAACACCCAAAAATATCCGTAAAACGTCACGCGGCAAGTAAGCAAAAAATGCTGCCAAAATAAAAAAATGCGAATAACATTTTCCTCCGTGCATTATCGATAATTAGTGATGGGATTGATACAGACCTTGTTCATTGTAACAGGAGTCAATGATACTCATGGTACCACCAAAGTAGTACGAATTTAATTATCAAACTTTACTATTGTTAGTATTATATGGAGAAGGAGAGATCAGTTTTGCATAATGGGTAACGAAAAATATACATCACGAAAATTAGTACACCCCACGATTATCTCGAAAATCTTAATCACGCCTTATCACTGACTGAAACATAAAACCTTTTATATAAAATAGAGATCAATGTTCAAGTGACTCTTGTTTACAAATAAAGACTCTGACACAAATCTCAACTACTTCATCTCCATTTATACATTGCAACACAATCTACAAATTAAAAAATAAAAAGAAGTCTCCCCATTTTCTGACAAATCTTCACTCCCATAGATGGACAGTTCCACAGTCTTCGACTAGTCCTAGGCCTCGTTAAAGCCATCTGACCGAAAAACCTGGCGATTTTTCCTCGGTACTGATCTTTCTTTCTCCACCCAATACAAACGACTCGGTATCCCTCCCATCACTGGTAGCGGTAGGGAGCGCAAGCCTCGTGGACCACAAAGATTCGAGAAAGACACGAATATAGTAAACGTGAATTAGTAGAGACTGTATGTACGTAGCAAGTGTGATATGCTCTGTACCATCTTCGTGCTCGGTCCTGTAGGTAACACCCTCGTGGCTGTGAGCACGGCCGAGCCTGTGCAACCTCGCCATCTGTGCAGCGACCTTGTACGCAGGAGGCTGACGGCACTGCGCGCTACCGATTCCTGGACGCATCGTCGTCATCGACGTCATGGTAGTCACGGTCGTCATCGTCGTCATTATCGTTGCGCCAGCTCCTTGGGGAGGAAGTCCCGGCGGTGCTCCGAGACCCACGCCTACTCCTAATCCCGTAGAACCTGAAAACCCTCGACTCTCTTCTCTCGATCTCTCACACCCTCGCGCCTTTCCGCTTCTCAACAACGCCCATATCCGACGACCATCAAATACACCGCCATTAGCCCTTCCAAACGAGCACGACCCTTGCAAGGAACCCTCTCTGCCGAATCACCCCAATTTTTGTGAAACTTCGCATTAAAGCAGTGAACAAAATATAAGAGTACCGATATTCTTTGATAGGCTGACGTTTATGTTCCAAGAGATCAAAGATACACTTGTTCGCAACTTTAAGGGTAGTTGCACCCCTAGAACACAAACGGCATGGTGTTCCTTAATTATATCGAATTTTAGTATAATAGTTCAGAGAAGTGCAAAGGTCCCATGAATGTTTTCAAATTTGTGAAATATTTCATTGTGGTACTCGTTTAGAAGTCGAGCTCGAGATGAACTCTTAAGAAGAAACAGTACACAACGCTTGTTATTCACCGCTAGATCTGCCCAAGAAAAGGAAAGCACAGAAAACCATGGTTAGTATACCCTGAAAAGAATCCTCGGTTCTCCGTTAATCTTGAGGTGTCGCGAGACATATATCGCAGACGGCACAACACATGATGCAACACGCTCCAAATGCAGGCGTACGGTACACGGACACACGTAGCAGACAACTATACTCACGTGATTTGTTATTATAACATGCGCGCGCGTCAACTCTCTTCGAGCAAGCAATTCATATACAGAACAGAGTAAGCTGATGCATATGATATATCGACGAACGCCTCAAGCCAGATTCGTTGCTTCCGGTGAAAGTTCGCATTCGAACAAGGTACTCATCCCTCCTACGTGACATTCGGAATTAGTGTGATTTTTATCTTACGATTGAACCCTTTCGGTGCTGACATTCTAACGCTCTACTGGATATAGTAAGGTGATAGGCTAAATTATTATTATTTTTTGTTTAAGTATGATTTCAAATTTTCAACAAAGATTAAATTAATGAAAAGATTCAAAACATACACGTGAAACTATTATTATACTATCAGACACTTAGACAGAATAAATTCCCAAGTATCGGAATGTTTAGTCCCCAAAACGTAACTCGACGCTCGCAAGTGTCCATCACACGAAGTCGCGAGCCTCGAAAGGGTTAATATTGGATTGGCGCCGTCACCAAGTCATGCCAAGATCCCGGAAGCAACGCGACCAACAGTGGACAGTTTTCTACGAAAAGAAGTTCAGCCCAGTTGCAGGAAAGAAACTCAAAGACAGGCAAGACAGTCGCGGACTCACCTTGAGGATTTTGGGGTTGGTGATGGTGATGATCGTAATAATGTTGGTGGTGGTGGTGGTGGTGGTGATGATGATGATTGTGGTTGTGATTCTGGTTGTGGTTGGCAGGAAGCGGAGGTAACACTGCTACCGCGTGAGGGAACGGAGGTGCGCCACCTCTCATAACAGACCCTGCACCACACACAGGCCACATACGAAATGTTTCTTTACAAAATGTACAATTTCTGCACACCACCGTAACGTGGCGTACCTGAGCGGGATCGTTGCGAGGGACGCGATAAAAAAAAATCGTCGTAAGGACGTCTCTTTCGATTCGAAACGGACTCGAGTTCTCTGCCAAGGAGGAAGATTCCTAGAGTGAGTGCCGCGAGTGCAAAGAGGTCGCGAGAATTGGATCGAAGTGTGGTATGCATATGTTGCAGCGAAAGTGGATTTTACAGTGAACGTAATCGATTACTAATTAATGTATACCCGCATTCACTGATGATACCTTTTCTAGCGATGTTTTATGTTTATTACCTAGGATTCAAATTATATTTAATGTATTGAGTCAGAAGAATCTTTTAATTGACATTTTTATTTGTTACTGTAAGCTGGAGGTGCATAAAGTGCCATCTTCTTGCAGCTATGCTTTAGACATGCTTAGTTTTCACGATTATTAGAAATCCTTTGATGAGCAATAAGCAATAGTCTTGGTTCGATTTTTCAAAGATTCCTAATGATTGGTTCATAAAAACTGACCAACACGTGACAATTCAGATTCATAAGAAAATTCTTCGAGACTATATTACAAAAGGCACATTAGATAACTATGTAGTACCCATTCAGTGGTCACTTTAACGATGGTGTACATTCACAAGTAATTGTTTACGTTCATCGACCATCTGATTTCACTGTAACATACATATGCGTATGCATGAACTGCCCCTTGCGTAAAGAAGCGAGTCTCTGTAAGAAGCTTGAAGCGATAAAATGTACTGAAGCAACTGGAACTCCGTGATACAAGCGACTATAAGCACGTTTACCTACGTTATCAACGCTTGATTAAACGATCATAAATAAAATATGTACCAGGAACGATAAAAAAAAAAAAAAAAAGATAGTGAGCGCGTCACGCAGCACGAGTTCCACGGAGTTTTTCAACTACCATAGACGAGAGAACGAAGATGAGTGGCCATGGGACATACGTATAGAACTATTTTTTTTTTTTCTAACGTTAGAATCTTATCGGGATCCGCGCGTGGCGAATGATTCAAGGAAAACGGACTGCGACTGTACTAATAAAAATAATTAAAAGGTTTCTCGTTCTAACTAAAAAAAAAACAGGCTGGAGTCATTCGTGGAACCCCTCAAGCATAAAGCTTAATCGAACGTTTTACAAAAATACTTTTCTAAAATATTTTCAACTTTCGTGTCAAATTTTTAGAAAAATATCTTACATCGTCGAAGAAGGGATAATAAAACCTAAAACGTTCTAGTAAACTTGATGGTCGAACCCTGCGAGTGACTTCAGTTTAAAAACAAAAAAGGGGTAAACAAACGTGAGAGTTCTTTCAAGGACCCACTTGTAGTCGTCGATAGGCGTACAACAAATATCACACTTTTCCAATGAATCATTCTCGTTTACTGACTACCAAAACGTAATGTCACACACTACTGAACAGATCCTCTCGAATATCAACGGTTTCACGATCACGCGATCACAAGCAAAGACTCGTTTAACACCCCAAAAAAAACTTGTTCAACGAAACGAGTTCAGTTACTATGTTCATTTAGGACATTCGATACACGTTTCAAGGTCTGGCGAAACGAAGTAAAAGACGATTCGTTCGTTTGCAATCAATTTCCATCTACTGGACCACTCCAGATTCTTTCATTTCTTCTACCTTCTAGTCTACGGTCTACGGAGCGGGCAACGGGAAGAAGAAGAGGTATGATGAGCACGAGCTTTTTTCTGTGGGTTTTTTCGTTTGATTTTGATTTGTTTTCTCTAGTTCGTTACGTACCTTGCATGGCGGAGTGCCGTCTTTGAGGTGGCGGCGGACTGCCACCGGCTTCCACGCTGCTTCCGCTGTGGCTGTCCAGCTGTGTACTGTGACCACTGTCACTGCTCGTCACCGAACCTACGCACACGTCCCCAAGACACTTCTATCACTACGCATTCTAGCCCAGTTTCGCCCTGTTGCGCCCCCGCCAACTGCTAATCATCTAATCAGATTAGTGGTCGAGTTCCTCGCAAGAACATCGTAATCCTGTAGCTCCCTGATCACTCTCTCTCACTCGCTAATAGACTCGGGAGACTAAAGTTCTCGTCTCCGTCGCGATCAAGTTGCACAGCGTTCGCTTTTCGATGCACGCCTACTCAGAGATCCTTCTGTAAGCGACTAGTTAGCTACTTCTAGCAGAGAAGCTATAAATTGAGTTTCAGTGTCGGCCTGTCGAAGATGTTATTTTAATCGCATTCAGACTCGGTTGATAGGCTCGTTCGAATTTTAATTAACAAGACATGACGTAAATTTTTGTTACGTTTCTTTTAATTGAATAATTTTCAAAAATATAAAAATGATATGATGAATAATGAGAATAGATCATCTTCGGGAATTGACCGAATTGATTCAGGTTATCACGTGTTCTCAAGTCCACGTGTGTACATCTAGTATAACTGATCGTGAGAATTATTGGCATATAACAATATATTTTGTTATTTTTATTATTCTTCAACGTGAGTGATGATTTGTGTAGCTGTCTACCCGACAAACTACTTATCAAACAAGATCAGGACATAAAATGGTGCTCGTAAGTGCCTAAACATTTTAAAAATCCGAACGAACGTATCACCCAACCTAACCAGACTAACATGTCCTGAAAAGTGAACATCGCTAGAATTCCCAGAAGCGATATATCCAAATTCGTGACCTACGATAGATCACTGTTCGATTCAAGCGTAAAGGAATAAATAGTTTGCGAAAATTGAAACTATCGTCTATTGATATAATTAACAGACTGTAACGTTAAGACTGAAAGTCTTAGTAGAACCGTAGAGGATGTAATTCACGCGTCCGTATGTCCCATGGAGAGTGATCTAAATTGAAGCTAGACGTGCTTCGCCCTGGGATCAGAACCGTGGTATAATCGGGACGATAATATTGATCGAAAAGAAGCGCGAGCTACGGTAATCGGCGTACAAGATGCGTGTAAAATGGATAAGCTAAATATAACATGGAACATTTATGAATTGCGTAAACGGCTGTGCAGCGTGCATAAAATGAGAGTATCTCATTGCGAGACCTGACCAAGTGTATGTCACGAGCAATGAAGGTGCACGATGGTACTTCACGAGATGTGTCCACCATTTTCGTGTTTGCGAGAGAATAACGGTAAAAATAAAACGAAAGAAGCACCATGGGTGATTCGTTCTCTAAAGCTAGCGATGTATAAAGAACACAGTGTTAATCGGTAACATCGTTAAGTATTCACGTGTGTAATGTGCGTCGAACCGATTGACAACATCTCGTTTCGAACCATTTTCTCGATATCAAAATCGACGAACTTACCGCTGGTCAACGTTTTTCTCAACGGTTGAAGATTGCTCAGGCTGGTCACGCTACTACTTTCAGCGCTGAGATCGACAGGTGGTGGTAAACTGGAAGGAGTATCGCTATGGGATCGCTCATGCATAGGAACTCTGCTACCAGATCCTAATCTCCTAGGTGCACCAGGACTAGGCTCCAGACCGCTGGAATGCAAGGCTAACCCTGGCACTGGAAGTGATGGTGGACAGTGTTTAGGTTGATACGGACGTGTTTTGTGAGGATCGGAGAGCGCCAACATTTTTCTCACTGCTTGTGGCGATGCTGCTCCAAACTTTGTACCTGGAAACAGAAAAATATTAAAACGAACGAGGTTAATCGTTCGATTCGAAGACCTAACCTCTCTAGTTTGAGATATAGTATTACGCCATAACACCTCTGTAGATTGATTCAGATATAAATAAATCTTACCTTGTATACTCTTTCTACCTTCACTGGTACTGCTAGCGCTACTTGTAGTTGACAGAGTAGGAGAAGGATGCCTTCTTCCTCTACTTGCGCTTAGTGGTACAGCCGCAGCAATTGCGACAGCTCCTGCATGGGGTTCACATTCCACGGAAAGAGCGTGTAATCGTTCCTCGTCTGTTATCACTTTCATATTCGTCAGATACGCTTTCACTCTTCTGACCATCTGCGCTTCCTCGAACATCTTCTTTGGGTTTGGCGCTGCGGTCGACTTTTTCCGTCTTTTTACGGTCGCAGTTTGTCCTCCTGGACAATGTAATACTGTTAGTAGGAATAAACTATAGGTTAAACTATCACATTCCGGTTTCGTAAATATTAATTGCGTTACCTTGATTGCCAGTGGTCATTTGATTCAACGCGACCATAGCGGAACTAGGTGGCTGCCCGCCTCTTTCCAACATTATCGATAAGTCGTAAGGCGAAGAACACATGTTCGTTAACGTTCTCACTTCTTTCGCGATCATTCTCAGCTTTTCGAAGTTAACCAAGCCTTCTACTCTGGAATCGTTGCCGAGATGTATAAACGTCAGATCTTTTTTTACTACGGGGTAAAATGGAATCTAAAAAAAATGAAATATTTAGTGCCGTGCATTCCGTGATTTCGAAAACTTGCAACGAAGTGATGACGCACTATGGGAGGTTGTGTCTGTTCAGACGCCACCAGTTGTCGGTATTTGCTCATATTACGGCTGGGATCCATTAATTCCTGCAAATCGCTGAAAAGCCTCTGATATTTGCTTGGCAATTTTTCCCATGAGCCTCGCAATCTTGATACGGCTCCGTGTCCCAAACCAGATACGATCGCAAACATGGAGTTGAAGTTCTTACACTCCTTACATTGGCCTGTTCACACGGAGAAATATTAAAAAGAACTCGGATAAAACGGTAAGTTCTTACATGGCCAATGAATAAGGAACTTACGAGCTATTTTTATGAATTGTTTTATTATTTTACTACGTCGAACGATGTTGTGTTCAGAACAAACTTCCGTTACGACCCAAAACATTTCTCTGTTGACTAGTTCTGCGAACTGCCTGAGCATAGGCACTCCGTATCTACTTTTTAATTCGAATAAATCATCCACGTACTCCGTGGATTCAATTTGCCTGAATATACTGAAATCTTGTAAGGTTAGCTGAATAGCAACTTCGACAGCGTTCAGTTGCAAGAAATGAACCTGAGATTCGCGAATAAGTTCAGGCGCTTGCTCGTCGGCCACGAGCGTCTCCGAGATACTGTTAGTTTTTAAATAATATCGCGAACTTAATCCGATTCTTTCTGCGAGGTTCTGCATCTGATCGGGTAACCTTCGTTGCTTAATCATACCTCCTTCCCCAACGCTAAGTTCAGCTAACGAGAAGTTCGAGCTACTCTCCGTTATACTGAACTCCTGAAGAGCAAGCATTACCACCTAAAAGGATATATGTATTAACATACAAACATGCGCATTCTTCACCTGTGATCGTCGTTTCCCAAGAGTAAATATACCTACCTCATGTGCTGTTGTTTCTTTATGAATAAGAAGGTATTTACAAGTTTGATCAGCTTTGTAAACTTTCAAAACGTGTTCAGGATAATCAGGCGCCCGCACGTCATCGTAACAATATAACGTAAGGTCGGGGTTACTTTTGGAGTGATAAAGGTTGGTGGTGGTCTGAGAAAGTCCTGTTCCTGGGGGTGTATGAGGAGGCGCAAGAGGATCGTCTACGTGTACACCATCGCTATAAAAAAAAATTACATTTTTTTTAATGGTTCTTTTGTATGAAATTTAACAATGTATATCGTTTTGAACTTACTTAATAGTATTCTTTGGCAGTATGTTCATCTTCATGAGGGCTTTCTGTAATCTCCTTTTCGGTCCAAGCGTCATGAATCCCTTATGGTCTTTCTTAGCATCTTTACACGGGGACACATTGGAATCGGGAATTAACAATGGAACACCACCTACAAGTGGGTTTAGCGGATTGACAGGGGTAATCGGATCCACGTGCGTGGACAACCTCGCACGTGGATCTGTTTGAATTCGTGATATTTCAGGTTTATTTGCTCTTCCCCGTGGCCTTGGTGAATCGTCTGGCATCTGAAGCATTTCTTTAAACGCTGCAACAGTAACATATCGCTCGTGTAAAAGAAATATAATACACAATTATTATTTCTAAAAAAAGTACCACATACCAAGTAAGTTTGATTTAACCGTTATACTGAGATGTGTGGATCCTCTTAAGATTTCGAGTGCCCTGACGTGATTCACATGCTCAAAACTTTGTCCGTTTACTTCTAAAATTTGATCGCCCCGTTTTAACCCAACATCTTCAGCCTTCGACTTTTTATCGACTTTCGAAATGAAGATGCCGAAACCCCTTTCGTAACCACCTAATATACTAAAATGCAAGACCTCGTCCCTACTGGGCCTCGCTAACGTTACATTCCGCGTTCTCGCCTTTGCCGCGCACGCAATGTTTAATAATCTAAAAATTATTAAACCACATATAAATCATATTCGCGATATATTAACGCAATACAAACTTGGATTGAAATGTACCTTTGTTGACCTTGCATTTTTTCTCTTTCCAATCCAGTTTCAAATGCTTCTAAAAATTCCATCATCGATGGATCGGTTTCAAAATCCGTAAAATGATTATTTACCCAGAGGAGTACTACTCGGGCAACTCTATCTCTGACTTGTGCTTGATCAAACCACTCTAACAATTGACTCGCAACTAATAAAGGACTTTCGATAAATGTTCGATGGGTTAATAAGAAATCTTCTATATACGTAGGATCGGTAATACTGTTTTCTTCTATAAGTTGTAACATTAAACGTTCAGGAGTTCCACGAATAACGACATGACCCCTGCGTGCTCCTCCGTCTAAAGCACCTCTTAATTCTGTTACTAGAATCACTCTTCCGTTTTCTTCGTGCCTCCTAGTATTTTCTTCCCCTTGATGTTGAATTCTAAAATAGTCTGCTTGCGTGACGCATACAAATTGGCAATCATCGCATCTGGAAAAAATATATTTTTGTCAGCGAAAACAATATTTCCGATCGATCGAAAAATAAGCTTCGAACACACTACTCACTTTGTCCTCATGATACCTCTATGCAGAAGTCTTTCCATAGTGGGCAAGATTCCAAAACTATCGCCAAGTTGTAGTTGTTCAATTTCGCCATTACTATGTTCGATTTCTACAGCACCATTGATAAGCACGCTCCAACTGTCCAATTCTTCGCCGTCATTTAAAACTATCATACCGGCACGTTCGACCACCGCAAACACCATCACAGCGCACAGCGCTCTTCTTACAGCCAGAGTCATGTTTGTAAAGGCCTTCAATTGTTGCGTGAATTCTAGCAATGTTTCTATGTCATCCTCTGTCCTTTCCATAGGGTCTTTCTCTAAACATTCTCTGACTTGATCACGGACAGTCAAGCTCTAAAAATAGTAATAATAAATTGTTATTCATTCATGCTTTACATTTTATAGTTCAATTCAGGTACTCCAAAAATTATAGTATATCTTTACATCCATGCTCTCTGCAAGATCTTCCTCTTCATCGCTGTCCACTATGGATTCAACAAGACCTGAAAGATCAACCTCATCCGCATCTGCATCCAAGGAACTTTGCACAGATGTCATAGTGTCAGAACCACTGTATGCAGAACTTGTATCACTCGAATGGCTGCTTCTGTTGGACTTTTGATACAGCTCTGGCCTGCCAGTCAGGCCTTGGGAAAACTGAAAAAAAAAATTTTCTCAATAATAAATGTGCTTTTCCTAAATATTTTTATTATTAAATAACTTTGTATTATACTTAATAAATGTTATAACATATTGTATAATGTCTGCACTGATTGAGGTGGCCAAAATTTGATACATTAATCTGATACCAGCAAATATGCAGACTAAGATGTTTACATTAATACTCATGTCAGGAATTTGTGATACAAAGCACAGATACCTGTTGCATTGTGTTGTAATCAAGGATGTAAACAATAGCACCATCTTGTCCAGGAAAATATATTAATACAGTATTTGAAGGAAGGGTAGGTTTAGTTGTTATATTTTTTTGATGTTTAATTTGATTTTCTGTTGTAATCTTTAACATTGACAGATTAACAATATTCATTTACAAATTTTTATTTGTGGAATTCAATGAGAATGGAATACAATGATATATACATAAAATGAAGATCCTTCAAACTCTTCAAAGAAACTATACATAATTGCTTCTAAGTTTCTCTAAATTGTTATAAATGTAAGATATGTTTACAAGGTATTTACAAGGTGTTGACAACATAATACCAAAGACATAGTGATGTTAATATTTGTTTACAGCAACAATTTCATCGAATAAGGAGATTTATTGCTCGGGTATAATAATGCATTTTCAAAACATTGATTTTAGGGTCCGTTCGATCGGGGGCCTAAACAGATGTCTTTTTTATTTATAGGATAATGGTCCACAGAACGGGATCGAGAGACATGTAGGACAAAAAACGCTGGTTCTTCGAGCGGTGCTCGTTTACGGAATAGTACCAGGAATGGGCGTGATGGGTGCAGGCTCCGTTCGTAAGTTAGGTTAGGTTGCCAGACATGACATCACGCATGCAGCATCGAGCGACCAGAGGAACCGCGCACGGAGAGAAAGAGACGGAAACAGTGGCACGTATGTGTATCTAAACAAAAACATCCTGACATCTGTCGTCTTTCGGCGATCATTTAAGGATGATCGTCTACGATCACTTGGCACACCATTCAATGGAAATCATGGTAACGAGGAAAAGCACGTCGCGATAAACCAAGGGCCATTTTGAGCCGCGGGAGAGATCGTCCGTCCAGACTCACTTGGTACATGCCCAAGGCGTCCATCCTATCCACGCTAATGGCACTTGCTTGGTTCTCCTCTCTTCTCCCTAGCTGGATATCACGACGAACAACACGAGAAACAAACAGTGTCCGGCCACATTCTCCTTTCGGTTATTTCACCACGGTTAGATTCAACTCGCGCAGGTCGCACCTTCTCGTTCGCGAGCGCATATGCGTTCTCGTGCACACGCAGCGCGACGTGACCTTCTTTGTGTGCGTTTACGAAGCTCGTGGCGCGTCTGGTGCGACCGTGTGTCGTGGGCCGTCAGCTTGGTGAAGTAGCGGACATGGAACTGCCTCTTGTCCCTCCCCCACCCTTCCTCCGACCATAGGCATTCCCTTCGAAAACGTAGGGTCACGTGCAGAGAGGCCGTATCGAGGACGCTAGTTATAGAGAATTTCCCCCACCATTCACGCACACCGACGCACGTGTACGTGAGCACCGCACTTCGGGCAACTTCGGCGGACGAGAGAGAGAGGCGAACGGCGAGTCTGCCCTTCTCGCTCTCGAAGCGGCTGAAGTCCAAATTGCCGACAAACAGAACCGATTGTTTTCTTGGGATTTCTTTGTTTTTCACGATTCGAAAATTCCCAAACTCCTCGAAACAAGGAAACTTTGTTTAAACCTTGTTTAAAAGTTCTTGAGAATCTTGAGAATTTCTAAATTGGAGACGGTGTTCCTGAAGTACCACCTTTAATCAATTATAAGTAATTGCAATACATTTGGATGTCTTTGAATAGACTTCTGTTGTACTAGTTAATAAAGAAAAAACTGTTATAATTGGAGGTATGACAGAGAATAAAAATAGAAGAGAGAGGGGATAAAGAGAAGTTTCCCAATTTTCAGATTATAAATAAAATTCATTTTACTAAAAAGGAACATGAGAAATTAAAGAGAACTATTCTATTTTGTATCCTTCCTGTTAAATATAATGCTTTAAAACTGGAGGTTAATCAGTAAAGTAGCTATGTGTATATAAAACACAACTAGTATCGATTTGGGGTTTGAACGGATTCTATATTTGGACACAAGCGGTCCAGAAAGGAACTATTTTCTTTCGTCAAATATGCGGCGGAAACATGGCATATTTTGTCTACATATAAGAGTAAACGACCGTCAACCACGATCGTACTCTGTCTGTCGGTAATTCTGACTTCAGTTATGTCAAGAGTGAGAAAGAAAGACCATCATATTCGCCATCCTTATCGACTTGCCGAAGGTGCCCGAAGCGCGAAGTTCACGTACACACGACTCACGTGCTGGAGTATGTGTAGGTGGAGGGGGAAATTCTCAGTGACTCGCGTCCTCAATCAGGCATCAGAAGCCCCCCACCCTTCCTCGTGCCGTAGACATTCCCTTCGAAAGCGTAAGGGTCACGTGACCCGACCGAGCGGCAAGCTTCAGGTCCGTCGCAACAGGGGGGCGCACGTTGGGGGGCCCACCTGTAGCTTCTGATCGTGCCACTAACAAAACACTTCTCCCGTCGACGACACGGCGAATATGACTGAGGACATTTTTCGGCTCACCCTACTTGCGTCTCATTAATAGTCAATTATTGACCACATACTGGTTCTACCACGGGATTTCCCACATTGTTCTGCTCAGTGTTGGAGCAAGGATAAGCAAAATCTGCTCGAGTGACAAACATCTTTCCAGCTCCCCAGTTTCAAAATCCATCTCATTACTCTCATGAAATATTCAGAACATTTTTATTTTATTTTAGTGAATAGAAAACTACAAGACAATCCCATTCAGATACAAACATATTGCCACAATTGGGCCGATTTGTAGCTGGACAAATACCAATAGAATTTCGAGTTTATTTTTTTTTTTTGCATCGTTCCAACAAGAATTAATTTGTAATTTTTTAGAAGGTCAACAGCTTGGCGGAACAGAGGAAAACCAGTTATCACGCACGATGTTACGACCAGTGTTTGCAATCTGTGCAATGAGACGTTTCACAAGACTAGCGGAACTGTTATCAACGTCAACTGGACCTTCTGGTTACTTTCCTGCATAAATTATATTATACCAGAGTGCTGGCTTTAGTTCAAATCTGGTTTCTGTATTGTCACAACATAAAACTCTAAGTATTAAATATAAATGATCTTTCGATGTCAATCTAACAATGTCTGCCAAGCTCTAAACAACCCTCTTCGTTAAGATTCAATTAGCCACGAAAATCATGCAAAATGTTTCAACGTTCATATATATTCGTGTCATTATGACAGAGTACTACAACCAATACCCAAGGGTCCTGTTCAGGTTTATGATATACGCGTCTTTCGAAGCTAATAACTTAGCTAAACGTGCAGACCCTTCTGAACTTCCGAAAGGGAGCGATGCAACGGTTGTTCTGAAAGGATTAGAGGGAATGACAAATTACAGCAACGCTTCCCAAACTGTGTTCAACAAAATGCATCGATGTTACATATTCGTAGCGCAGTACACCGACCTAGATTAAGGATGATAGGTACTTGCTACATACTCTTCAAGTTACATGCTCGAAATCATAGTGGTTCAAGTAAAAAAAAAATAAACAGTTGAGCTGTACTATGTTTTACTCAATTATGTTTGTATCGAAGTATGAGATCATAACGAAGATACATTATTTTTAATTTTTACTTACACCACTACGACTACTTATTCTCAACTTGTCGAAAGGTAAGAAAAAAGACTGTAGCTTCGATTCGATGAAACCTGGCAGGAGGAATTTTCCCATGAATATTTATCGGATATCAACAAGGACGACCAGTCGATCGTTGCATCGGTCAGCAATTCATCAGCTGTGATTGCAGACGCTTTGGAGCGTTATGCAAAGTACATCGGTCGTCGTGCTCCGAACGCGACCACGGCGATCAACCTCTTCGTGGTGTCGAGGCGTAAAGGTAAAGGCCGATCGTGTGAATCAAGCTTAAGGAGTCGACGGTCGGTCAATCGTCAGTTGGTAAACGATCGAGAGAGAACGAGAATTCACGCTGAAGAGAGGTACCGGTCTGTTCAAAGCATCCAACAGCGGATAGTAACTGCTCAAAGGCCACTGGCCGACCCGACGGATGATTTATACAGCCCGTTATGTCGTGCCCGTGTCTCACTTTTCCTTTTGCCCTGCTCCACAGACTTTCCAAATTGCCTCTCCCATTCAGTTTCTTCCTACTTGGCCGAGAGACAGTGGCATACCAGTGCATGCGACCAATACGCATTCCAGAGGATCTTTAGGGGAGACGCTAATGTAGATCGTCTTACCCGCAAGCTGCGCCTCGAGAGGGTATTCTACTCTGGACAAACCATCTTTGGAATTTTATGACGAGACAACTATTTAAGACGTGTTAATAGGAAGGTATACAAGGGGGTAAAAATGAGGATCAATCTTAGAAGTCTCTGAATGATTGTCTTATCCGCAAGCTGCGATAAGAGGGTGTACTCTTGGTCCGTTTGCCAAGATTTGCAAGTGTGAAAATATTAGGACCATCATTGAAAGTGCTGAAGCGAACATCTTTGCCACTTTGCCCTAATCCTTCTTTACGTAGAATGACGATAGGGTTCAATTTATGCAAAAAAAATGCATTTCCATTTAAATAGCACAACTATCGATTGCACGTACACCATATTGCACCATTGTTTTCATAGAAAAAATAAGTACTCTTTGACCTATCTTTTTCCTTTGACATATTTCTTTCTAAATGAGGAAGTTAGGACTTGTCACCTGTACACATTTTTTGAAACCGTTTTCTCGAATGTTCACGAAATAGGACGCTAGGAAGAGAACATTTAGCTCGCAGAGAAAAGGAAAAAAAGCATTTTCTCCAACGATACACGCACGCGGATCGCGTTCCTCGATGCGTTCCACTTTCCAGGCGGAGGAAAATCTTTTCTCGAGCCGCGACGATTGCTATTTACTCTCCACCCAAGAAATTTTCCGTACGCGGCGATGCAAATAAGAAAATTCGCAGACTGATAAAACATCTCTTCGCGCAGACGGGCGGCAGCGTATTTGAAATGCATGAGAAAGTGCAATGTGGAAAAAGGTTGCTTTAAAACTTTTGCGACTCCGTGCATCCTGCGCGGACCCCCTCTCAGAACACGTGGGCGTCACACGCGCATACGTCACGAATCGGCGACGTCATAAACTTTCTTCTAACTACGAAACCGATGACGCAAACTGAGTCAGCGTCTCTCAGCATTTTTCAGATTATGGTCCCCTCCAGTTGTACCGTCATTAGAGTAAACGAGGCCACCTCTCAATATCGATGCGTTTACGAGTTTTTGATACTACAGGAAGAATTGGAGTAAAGCCAGGCTCGATCAAATAAGAAGTCGGAAATCCAATGAAACGCGAATTTGCATTCAGCTAGAAGGCATTTTAATAGAAATACAGGAAATCCCTTTGACGTTTTTAAATTAAGCATTGGGCTGTCAAATTATTCTTCGTTTTAGTCGAGGTAAGATATTTTTATACTATTTTTCATAGCCCAATCAGATGGAAATATTGCACAGTTGACAATTAAATATTTAATTTGATTAAATACGCCTACTCGAATATGAGTTTGGTTATCTCTGAACGTTGGTCTAGTTGAGAAACCCGGAGCTAAACGATCAACAGATGCGCAAGCTGTACACTAACGATGGATAACCGCTATGCACCTTTGTGGCATCCGATCTGATACGAATTAATTTCGCTCTCGATGGCGATGGATCGAAAACCTACATCAGTGCTCCCCAAACTTTTTTAATCATCGAACACTTCATCTTGCAATACATCTGCGGAACATTCATATTTCGTTTTAGCTATTTCGGAATGAATATTTCATTGAATATTTCATTTAATCAATTCAGAAATTGTAACATTCTTTTACACCACTGAAACGATGATCAAAAACTTTGTCATGAACAACGGTATTTTTCAATCCATCTACATTCAGGTCGAGTCATTTTTGAATAAACATTGCCATTTCAAAACAAAATAAGGAATTTCCTAATCCCCAGTCAGACCTTTGAAATTCGAAATAAAGTTATGAGTTTTTATGAGTCACCGTGACCAGGTCTAAGAACGCAGGTCGGAAAAGGAACGTCACGGCGAATGCTTTCGAAAAATGTACCCGAGTCGGTTCTACCTGGCGAGGAAAGCTTCAAAAACAGATATTTACCGTGTCATCAAAGACCAAGTTGACCTGTCGATGGTCGGTTATGGGATGAGGGTGCGGTGGCCGATGCATCCTTCCTCCGTGCACTTCCGGGTAGTCGATCTGCAAAAGGAGAAATGAAACGTGCAATTAGTGTTTCGAGTTTCATGGTCTCCTGATCATGCTTAAAATACAGACAGTAGCTTGTTATTTCAAAGGCAAACAAGATCTGCTTAGAGCCCCAATAAAAGGAGGCCTTCGAAGTCAAGGTTTCGAAAACAAATTACCGTCATTCGCATACAATGTAAGTTTGTTTATCAGTAAAATTTAGTGTCAAGAAATATTACCATTGAAAAGAATGAAGAAAAAAAGGAATGAAAATATGAATGACTAAAGAGGATAAAAATGGTTTGGAGGCGTCCTGATAAGCTATGATTTATTCAACCTGAAGTTACTATAAGTTTCATTGAAACTCATACCGATTGCAATTTGTTTTGAATAAATAATAACTGTCCACCTTCGATTCGTTATTCGAAATGTATCTAGACGAGTATCTTGCATATCATCTCTAACATGAAGGAGTTGGACAACTAATAATCTTCGATCCACATGGAAGCAACCTATTTCGTTTTTCTTTTAGCCTCGAGGGAAGTTTTCTGAACACATCAGAAACTTTGCCTGGTACGTAGATCCAGCCAACGCACGTTAAATAATTCCCGTATTTTTAAGGTTAAAAAAGATCACCGACAGCAATGCGGCGAAAGGTGAAAGGTTATCGTGCACCAGAAAATGCAAGCGCAGGTAGGAGGTGCACATGGATTAGATTATCGATAACACACGGTATGGATGGAAAAAATGATGTTCGAAAATGTGAGTGCAGACCAGGTGCATTCTACAAGTCGAACACTTCTTTGGAGAATATGTTTTATGTAAAGAAAAAAGGGGGGCGGGGAAGAGTGTTAGTTCAGAAAATTAATTGCAGAGATGATTAAAATTTGCTATGTTGGGGAAGGAGGTCTATTTCAATAGGTACCTAGAATCACATATCTCTTCATTCATACACACTGATTTGATAATATGACTATGCAACCTTGCAAACAACTATTACGACGATCTTCGCTCTTTCAACGATTCTTCTGTCACGTTCAAGGATGAAGAGTGTGGGAATTATCAACACAATGGCGAATCGTACATCAATTATAAATAATGCAACGTATGAAATAGTCAGATAAGTTAATAAATAAACAAGAATCTTCAAATTCACGTGGAATGAAATTTAGACTGCATCTGGAGTCTTTCTGGGCTCAATAGTATTCTTCATGCAACATACTTGCTGCGGGGAATCCGATATCTTGTTTCGTAAGGTCTGCAGCGGCCACAGAAAAAAAGGGCGAAACTAGATACACATGTGCAGGGTGTTCCATAAATTCTGGATACAGAAGTACGAATCTCGTACTTGAAAATATCGTTTTATTTTCTTCAAGTGAAATAGTAACGCGGTAGAACGTACTGTGACGTGAAATGTATTGTTTGAGGATTAATGCACAACTCAGCGCCTATTGAAAGCTAGAATTCCCTGCAGACTAAATGACGTTCCAGACAATCGAAACGTCCTCGGAGAACGATATCAGTGGATTGCAGATGTTCGTGCAGATGCACATTTCATATGCAAATTTACACTTATATACAAAGTTGATGCAAATATGCAGGATGGGTTATGTAAAATGTGCGCGTACCTTCGTTATGATACAGTTTATCGTCATCGTCATATCGTCACCGTAGTTATCATAGTCAACACGGTGACCATAGTTACCGTCTTCTACATTGTCTTCGTTAAATTTTACGCATTTGTGATATACATTAATATGATAAATATATGCTAAACATAAACGAAAGGTATGTGCACTTATAATTATATTAATATTATTATATTAATTGCAGAATATATTCAACATATATTGTGCAAATTTTTGGAAGCTTTTCTGAATTAGTGTACGTCATGAATGCATAAAATTCTCGATCTAGTCATCATAGGCTTTGCGATCATTACACTTGTCAGGTTTATCATATTTACTATAGTCGTTATCTTTTAATACAGCTACAGTTATCATAGTTGTTACATCACCGAGCCTCACTTCATTATCTAATTATATTATTTTGCATATATTACACGCAGGTACAGCATGTCTCTCGTGCACGAGCTTCTCGCATATCAAACTCGCGCAAACAGCCGCCAATCCGCTCGTATCACGGAACGCCTAGAGCGACAAACACCTTATCCACACACAGTGTCGTCTGCCAACAAACGACACCGTGTTGATAATCTAATCCGGTTTCACCTGCAGATGTCCACGACATCAGCAGCTGCGTCAACTTTTTCTCGGCCCCGTTCGCAGCACCGTTGCCTTTTTTCGGTCAACAGGCGATGGCGTTCGTCGCTGAACAATGTGCACGGAAAAATGAGAGAATGTGTGTGTGTGTGTGTGTGTGTGTGTGTGTGTGTGTGTGTGTGTGT